GGGCTGGCGCCCGTGAGTTCTGAGGTGTTTCGTGCGCCTCCGGTGGACGCTGTGCCCCCCCAACGCGGCCTCCGAACCCTCCCATGAGTCCGAGAGGGCCCCGAGTCGCCGAACGATCGCTCCAAGACGCCCAAGATGGCCTCAAGCTGGCCCAGGAGGCCTCCAAGACGCCACAAGAGGCCTCCTAAGAGGGCCTGGCATTCTCGCTTTTTCGGCTTTCCCGCGCTCGAAAACGGCCCAAGAGGCCCCCAAGGCCACCCCAAGACGGCCCAAGGGGCCTCCAAGAGGGCCCCAAGACGGCCCAAGTGCGCCCCCAGACGGCCCAAGGGGCGCCCAAGACGGCCCAAGAAGGCCCCAAGACGGCCCAAAAAGGGGCCCGAGAGAGGGAACACGAACCGAAAATCCGAGCCTTCCGTCCCAAGAGGCGGAGGCCTCCAGAGGCGCCCAAGAGGTTCCAAGAGGCGTCCAAGAAGCCCGCAAACGCCCCCAAGAGGCCCAACATAGGCCCCAAAACGGCCCCCAAGAGGCATCAAAAATTCCTCCAAGAGGCCCCCGAGAGGCCCCCCACGACATTCCAACGAACTTCCAATAGGCGTTATACCTACAACCCAGGCGCGGTGGCGAGATGGGCGGAAGGCCACTAGATCCGCCGCCCCCTTTTGATTCATCAGAAGGGTGCCTGGCGTGTTAAACCCTCTCGGTTTTGGTTTTGGTTCTTTTTCAAAAACAACTCCCCCTGGGGCTCCGGCGCGTGCCGCCGGCCACCCGGAAAGGCGCTCAAAACGCATCCGTCGTGCCTCTGTTTCCTCCAGTTGGCCCAAGATGGCGTCCAAGACGGCCAAGATGGCCCAGCTCCAAGACGGCCCAAGATGGCCTCCAAGACGGCTAAGATGGCCCCAAGATGCCTCCAAGACGGCCCAAAATGACCTAAGACGGTCCAAAAGGCCCGCAAGAGGCCTCCAAGACGGCCCAAGAGGTCTCCAAGAGGTCCTCCAGGAAGGCCCGACGAGGCCAAAATCATTGATTTTCCTTCGGTTGATGAAGGATTCTGGCATTTGCGCCTCTTCGGCTTTCCGACGGCCCAAGACGGCCCAAGGGGCTCCCAAGATCGCCCAAAAGGCCCCCAAGAGGGCCCCATGACGGCCCAAGTGGCCTCCAAGACGGCCCCAAGAGGGCCCCAAGACGACCCAAGAGGCCTCCAACACGCCCAAGATGGCCTCCAAGACGCCCAAGATGGCCTCCAAGACGGCCCCGAAGCGCCCCAAGAGGGCCCCAAGTCGGCCCAGAAAGGCCCCCAAGACGGCTCCTGACTGCGTCAGACGTGCCAGGAGCCCACCAAGATGGCCGAAGTTGGCTCGAAGCTGGCCCAAGACGGCCCAAGAGGCCCCCAAGAGGTCGTCCAAGAAGGCCCGAAGAGGCCAAAAACATTGATTTCAGGTTTTTGACGGATTTTGACATTTGCTTCTTTTCGGCTTTCCGACGGCCCGAGACGGACCACGAGCCCTCAAAAATCGCCGAAAGATCGCCCAAGAGGCCTCCAAGATGGCCCCAGAACGGCCCAAGAGGGCCCCAAGACGGCCCCAAGAGGCCCCCAAGACGGCACAGGAGGCCTTTACGACGCCCAAGATGGCCTCCAAGACGGCCCTGGAGCATTCCAAGAGGGCCCCAAGTCGTCCCATAGAGGCCCCCCAAACGGCTTCAGACGGCGTCAGACGGACCAGGAGCCCACCAAGACGGCTGAACATGGCCCTAAGATGGCCCAAGACGGCCCAAGAGGCCTCCAAGAGGGCCTCCAGGAAGGCCCGAAAAGACCAAAATCATTGATTGCCCATGGGTTTTTGAAGGATTGTGGCATCTGTTTTTTTTCTGCCTTCCGACGGCCCGAGACGGCCCAAGTGCCCCCAAAGATCGCCCAAGAGGCCCAAGACACGGCCCCAAGAGGCCCCCAAGACGCCCAAGAGGTCTCCAAGACGCTCAAGATGGCCTCCAAGACGGCCCAAGAGCCCTCCAAGACGTCCTCCAAGAAGGCCCGAAAGGGTCAAAATGGCCTCCAGACGGCCAAGATGACCTTCAAGATGCCCACGTGTTCCCCGAAGGCTTTCCAAACCGATTCGGGGAACACATGGTCCGATAGCTTGGCAGATCTGGCCTCAACGTTCGGCCACATAGGCGCTTCCAAAAAGGCAGGGGGCGGCGGTGATTCGCCGTAGGCGCCTTCGATCCGCCGCCCCCTGTTGGCTTGCCACAGGGTGCCCGGCGTGCTAAACACTACTGTTTTTGGTTTGTGGTTCTTTTCCAAGAAAACTCCTCCTCCTTGGGTTCCAGCCCAGCCCGCCGGCCACCCGGCAGGGCGCTCAAGGCCCCGAAACGACCTCAACGTCCACAAAAAAAATGTTCGGGTCAATTCCTCTCCCCTTCTTGTCCCCCTCCCCCTCTCGCCCCCCCTCAGATAGCCGTCTGCGCATTAGAGTATATCCTATGTTGCCTGCACCGCCGTAGCAACTGCAAGGCGGAGGCTCCAGCGAGCGCGCATTATGTTATTTCGTTTCGCCCAGGCGCTACGGCGTATGGCATGACTGACTGACTGACTGAATGCCTTTTCCCTCCAAGATGGCCCTAAACAGCCTCCAAGACGGCTCAGATGGCCCGAGATGGCCTCCAAGTTCGCCCATTATAGTCCAAGAGGCCTCCACGACGGCCCAGGAGGGTCCAAGATGGCCCCAGAAGGGCCCAAGAAGCCTCGAAGACGGCCCAAGAGGCCCCCAAGAGGCCTCCAAGACAGCCCAAGAGGCCTCCCTGAGGTCCTCCAGGAAGGCCCGAAGAGACCAAAATCATTGGTTGTCCTTTGGTTTTTGAACGTTTTTTTGTCTTTCCGTCTTTTCGGCTTTCAGACGGCCCTAGACGACCCCAAAGGCCCCAAGATCGTCTCAAGATGGGCCGGGAGGCCTCCAAGATGGCCCCAGAACGGCCCAAGAGGCCTCCAAGAGGGCCCCAAGAGGCCCAAAGACGGCCCAAGAGGCCTCTAAGATGCCCAAGAAAGCCTCCAAGACGGCCCTGGAGCATTCCAAGAGGGCCCCAAGTCGGCCCACAGAGGCCCCCAAGACGGCTTCCGACGGCGTCAGACGGGCCAGGAGCCCACCAAGACGGCCGAAGATGGCTCTAAGATGGCCCAAGACGGCTCAAGAGGCCTCCAAGAGGGCCTCTAGGAAGGCACGGAGAGGCCAAAATCCTTGATTTGCCTTAGGTTATTGAAGAATTTGGGCATCTTCTTTTCGGCCTACCGACGGCCCGAGACGGCTCCTCCTCCTCCTCCTCCTCCTCCTCCTCCTCCTCCTCTCCTCCTCCTCCTCCTCCTCCTCCTCCTCCTCCTCCTCCTCCTCCTCCTCCTCCTCCTCCTCCTCCTCCTCCTCCTCCTCCTCCTCCTCCTCCCTCGTCCTCCTACGCCCTTCTCCTCCTCGCCTCCTCCTCCTCCCCCTTCTCCTCCTCCTCCTCCACCACCTCCTTCTCCTCCGCCTCCTGCTGATCTTCCCCGCCATCCTCCCCCAAGTGTTCCCCGAAGGGTTTCCATAACGGTTGGGGGAACACATGGTCCGATAGCTTGGCAGAGCTATTGCCACAACGCTCGGCCACATGGGCGATTCTAAAGACAGGGGGCGGCGGTGATTCGCCGTAAGCATCTTCGATACCGAGGAGGCCTCAAGCGAGAACCTAAGTCTGCAGCAACACCAAGGGCATATCAAGCGAGAGTGCGATACCTGAATAAATCGTGGGGGAAATATCAGGCGGGAGCAGTAATTTGTTGTTGGTGGTGTTGTTGCTGTTGCTGTTGCTGTTGTTGTTGCTATTGTTGTTGGTGGTGGTGTTGTTGATACTGTTGCTGCTGCTGTTGCTGTTGTAGCCGGGAGGGACAACAGCACAGTTTGGCCCACAAGACATCCCCTGGCAAAACATATGCGCGAGAGCTGAAGGGGGAACTCAATTGAAAATAAACAGACTGAACACCAGTGAGGGGGGATCAGCAAAAAATATTCATCAGAAGTAACTGAATTCAACACATTACGTTTATGTCGGGCGTGCAAATACCTAAAAGATACCCCCAAAAAGGTCAAAAAATACTCAAACGAATAGTCCCCAGGCTATTTGATTACTGTTGGATTATGTTGGGGGTATTTTTTCTTTGTCGTCGAAAACCCCCCTGTCGGCGGACAGGCCCGACTGAACATTACGTTCTGCCCTGGGGCGCTCTTCACGGCCCCAAGACGGCCACAAGACCGCCCACGGCCGCCACAGCATGACCACGAGATGCCCCAGATTGGGGGGGGGGCGCGCGCGGAACGGGCAGAGCTTGGAGTGCCGGGGGAGGGGGGGGGGCTCCCCCTTTCGCACCCCCCCCCCCCCGCCCTTTTTCGTGCACGGGGGGGGGGGGGGGCTCCCCCTTGCGCACCCCCCAACGTTTTATTTGTTCTTGGAGATCGTTAGAGCCAAGATTGGCCCGAAGCCCCGAAGGGTGCGAAGATGCCCCACAAGGCCGTAAGATGTCTTGAGAAACCACCAACAGACCCCAATGAGCAATCCAGCAGGGCCCTGGGAAGCCAAAATCTGTGAAATCCCGGCACTCGTCCAATGCATCTTCTTGCTGCACAGCATGTGCTGGATACGACGAATGCGAAACGGCTTCTCAGAGGCCCAAGAAGGCCCGAGAGGAATCTAACACGCACCCTAAACAGCCTCAACCGATCCCAACAAGAACCAAGGACGGCCCGAGGAGCACCCCAAAACAGCGAAAGGCCGACCTGGGACGGCTCCACGACAGCACCAAGACCCTTCCAGACGGCCCCAAGGCAGCTCTGCCGAGCCTGAGGAGGAGAGGTAGGAGGAGGAGGAGGAGGAGGAGGAGGAGGAGGAGGAGGAGGAGGAGGAGGAGGAGGATCGCGATCACGCCTCTTTCCTCGCAGCATGCCCTCCTCCTTCCCTCCCTCTCTCGGGCACCCAGGGCTCGCCTTCTCTGTCGTCACCGTCTCCAACACCTTCGGGGCCTTCTTGTCCGCGCTCTTCGCCCACACTTCCTTGGAGGAAGAAACAAAAGCGGCATGAACAGAAACTTCCGGAGCCCCGCTCGAGAAATGTATGGTTCTGCCGCTTTGGGTTCTTCGGTTCCTTGGTGTAGTTGGGCTCCATGAAGCCCGCGTGGCCAGTGCCTGGGGGAAGCAAAGGATGCCGATGCTGCTACTCCACTGTCCTTTCCTGTGGTGCTTTCTGGCCAGGATTTAGAGAAGTCTATGAAGGGGCCCCAGGATACACAAATAAATACACACAAATAAAAGTATGTCCCATATTTTCATATATTTTCTGGGTTTCTGTCTTCCCCCCCACTTCCCATATTTTCCCATATCTTCTGGGGAATCGAAGATTAATTGTGTCTGTGTGTTTCTTCTCCTCCTGAGTCCAGCCGTGGCGACGGGGGAAGGGTCGCGGCATCCTATCGATTTCGGTTCCTCCTCCGGGGCGCCCGCGTTGTTGAAGCCGTTGGAGCTCTCCAGGGCCACCGCGTGCAGGCGCTCGAAGCAGGTGATCTTCCAGGTGGGCTCCAGCTGCTGCAGCATGAGGCCGACCGTGGAGCTCATGATGCCCGCCCCGACGAGCACGGCGTCGACCTCCTGGAAGGATTTCCCCCCAGCGAGGACAGACAAGGACGAGACGAGACGAGCGCGCGATGTCGGTCCAGCGGGACCGGCCCTACGAGGGCAGCGCGGGGGGGCCGGGGCGCTCAGAAGACGTGTTGCAAGCAGAAATCGGAGAGATGGATGCTGGAGACTCTTTGAGGGAGAAGAAGGAAGTCCTCCATGTAGTCGAGAAAGCCGTCCTCAAGACTTTTCCACAAAATTGTATCAGGAAGGCAGATCGAGGAAGCCGCTGCCCCTCGGGAGGGCCACGTGGCACAGCCGCGCGGTGCACGGCCAGGCGAGCAAGGCGGGACGCCTGCGCCGCAGGGCGTGGCAGACCACCGTATCGCGGCGGGGAAAGAGCTCGGTGGCAATCCAAGCTCAGGTCGGGCATGTCCCCCTACAGGCGGATTTGAAGGGGCCCTGGGACACACAAATAAAGACACACAAATAAAAAGATTCCCGATATTTTCCCATATTTTCTGGGTTTTTGTCTCCCCCCCCACTTCCCATATTTTCCCTATATTTTCTGGGGAGTCGACGATTAATTGTGTCTGTGTGTGTTTTGTTCCCCTCCTGAGGATTCTGGGCGAAACATTAAAATTGCTCAAGAACAAAACAAAAACATCAAAGTATCGTCCCCAGACTATGTTTTACTATGTTTGAATGCTCCTCCTGTAGACAACAGACTGGCACCAAGACGCCGAGGAGAGAGGAGACTCCTCCTCCCTCCTCCCTCCTCCTCCTCCTCCTCTCCCTCCACCTCCACCTCTTCCTCCTCCTCCTCCTCCTCCTCCTCCTCCTCCTCATCATCATCATCATCATCATCATCATCATCATCATCAGCATCATCATCATCATCATCATCATCATCATCATCATCATCATCATCATCATCAGCAGCAGCATCAGCATCATCAGCATCATCATCATCATCATCATCATCATCATCATCATCATCATCACCACCACCACCACCACCACCACACCACCACCATCATCATCATCATCATCATCATCATCATCATCATCATCATCATCATCATCATCATCATCATCATCATCATCATCATCATCATCATCCCCCTCCTCCTCCTAAAGAGGAAAATCTACCCCCCAGAGCAGGAGCGCGGCCCGCGCCCCCGGAGGAGGGAGCGAGGGCTGCTCTCACAGGGACAGTGAATCGCGCCCCTCGGCGGCGGAGCACCCGGGACAGCTTTGGCCCCCACCCGGCAGGTTGGGGCCGTTCGGCTCAAAGAGCAGATGAGGGGCAGCGTCAGGGGGGGACAGGCTCAGAGGAGGTGAGGGGCAAGGATAGGGGGGGGGTTAGGCATAGGGGGGGGGATGTGCATGGACCTGGGATCGGCGATGCATCGCCGATGGATCGGCGAGAGGCCCCCGATAACGAATCCGCACCTTCCTGAGCGGGGTGGGGCTGTCGGGTCCCTATCGGCGATCAGTGGGCGATTGGGGGTCGATGCATCCCCACCTATGCCAATCTCCCCCTCATCGTTGCCCCTGAGAGGGGGTGTGGGTGGGCATCGACCTAGAATCGGCGATAGATATGCGACATGCCACTGGTAGCGAGACCACACGCTGCCTCAGAGCCCGTCCCCCCCGAACGCGGCCTCTGACAAACAGCTTTTCCCCCAGCCGACAGGTTGGGGCTGTTGGGCTTAAGAGGAAAGAGCTCTCGGGAGCGGCCAAGAGGGGGGGGTCCAAGAGGGGGGGGTGCAAATCATGACCGGCGGCACGTGCGCGGCCCAGCGGGGGGGCCAGGGACGCAATGAAATCAGAAGAGGCGCCATGAAATCTGGGGAGATATCGTGGCCGACGCCATGAGATCCACCCCCCCCTTAGACATCACCCCCCTCTTTGCCGCCCCCGAGAGCAGGCCGAGGGGACGCCTCCCCCCGGGCCCCGTGGAACGGCGGGCCAAGCAGCGCTGCACACCCGGCGTGGCCGCGGCCGAGCTCCGCCCGCAGGCAGAGGCGCGGCGACGGGCACGGCGGGGAGCAGCACCTGGGGCTGGCGCCCTCGCGACCGGCCCCGAGGAGCCTGCCCAGCTGCCGCCCCTGGCACACCCCACACAGGGGCGAGCGGGGGAGGGGGAGAGGGGGATGGCGGGGTGGGCTAGGCGCGCTCGCACCAAATCTGATACCTACTCGTCCCTTCCCACCAATCCCGTCCCATTGCGCCGAATCTTTGTCTCTCCGCCGGCTGGGGTGCCCTGGAGAGACTTGGTCACCCAAATGGCCCTGCCGCGTGATGCGCGATCAGAGGTGGGGAGGGCCTTCTACACTGGTGGAGGAGGAGGTGGTCGAGCAGGAAGATGAGCAGGAGAAAGAGGAGGAGGAGGAGCAGGAGCAGAAGGAGCAGGAGGATGAGCGGAAGGCCAGGGACAAGAAAGAACGTGGATGGCAACGACGTGGAGCGAATCGGATCCGCAAATGTGGCCCGCGTTGGGGCGAGAGCGCCTTTCATCGGGGTCAAAATCACGATCCTGAAATGTGGCCAACGCTCCAGCGGGAGCAACATGCTTGAAAGACCTGTAACGTTCCGATCGAATGTGTACATGCATGCAGGCATACGCATACACACACGTGCGCATACATAGCGGAAGCGGGAAGCGGAAGCAGCGGTGCGGGCGGGGGTCACCCGCGCCTGGGCCCCTTGAAGGCGGTCGGGCTCGCTGAACATAGCAGAATTGCAAGAAACACTCGAAAAGGACGCGTGAAACAACGGCAAGGCGTTCCAGGTAGATGGTAAGAATCGAGTGACAACACCTGCGGCAACAACTCTTATTCCAGGGGAGAGGAGGGAGGGAGGAGCAAGAGGAGGGAGGAGAGGGACGAGAGGAGAAACATACTCTCACCCTGGCGTTTGTTGTGCGGTGAAACACCGGACGAACAGCATGGCGGTGGAGGCGGATAGAAGGCATAGCGGATCAATCGCTGAAGCGTTTGCAAGGTCGGCCGGGCACTCGGGCGCCCTCAAGGGTCCGACGCAGCAGCTTGGTCGACCACCACCCGTCAGTACGATTATCGGTCTTATGTGCATACATACGTATGTAGATATATAGATATATACATATATAAACATATAAACACATATATATATATGTATGTAGGCATGCATGTGTATATGTATATGTGTGTACCGAGAGAGATATCGGCATGCGCACAAACACACGCAAATATGCATACCTTCATACTTACATACATGTAGGCATACGTATAAATATACATGCACGCATGCATACAGGCCAGTTGTATACATACATATATATATATATAGAACACTGCATACAAACAAGCAACATACATACATGCATGCACGAAAACAATCATACATACATACATACATAAATAGATACACCCATACATGCATGCACACATACATGCATGCATACACCATGCATGCATATACATGCAGACATGCATACATGCATTCATACATGCAAATGCACATGTGGTCACATACATGCATGCATGCGTAAATAGGTACGTGCATCCAAGCAGGCAACAAAACATACATACATACATAAAGTCAGTGGCACAGACAGACATGCATACACGCATGCATGTATGCATGCCGATCTACATACATACAATAGACGAACATATATATATATATATATAGATATATGCATATATATATGCGAACGTACATACATGCATACATCCATACCTACATACATAGCTACACACATACATACTGGCATAAATACATGCATGCACACACATACATACAAGCATATGTACAGACATACATACATACATACATGCATGTATACGCGCATGCATACGTACATACAGACATGCCTGCACGCATGCATACATACATGTATGCAAATGTGCGTACATGCACACATGCATGCATACGTGTATACATGACTAGCTAGGTATACCTACGTACAAACATACATACATACATACACGCATACATACCACTATATATACATATATACATAAATGAATGCATGCAATTACGCAAACAGGAATACATACATATATATATATACATGCATACAGACACACATGCACACATACATGTATATGTACACATATAGACATACACATACCGTCATACAGAGATACATATATACATGCATACATGCATGCGTGCATACATACATACATACATACATACATGTACAGGTAGACATACATATATGCATGTATACATACATACATACAGACAGACAGACAGACAGACAGACAGACATAGATACATACATACATACATACATACATGCATGCATACATACATACATATATACATACATACATGCATGCATGCATGCATGCATGCCTGCCTGCATACATACCTGCATGCGCACATATACACGCACGTACACCCACATGCATAAACACGTACACCATGTATACACAAATCGATCCCACAAACACTGAAACACTTTGCGGTCGCGCACAACCAGGGCGGAAGCCGCTCGAACGCTCAAACAGAACGGCTTCGCCAAGCGAGCCAAGTTCTGTTCCCAGAAGCCCTGGGAGCAAGGAACGGCGGGCAAGCGCTATTGGCCAGGCAGGCCGAAAAAAACGACCGGACCAACACGGCACGAGCTCGGGCGACGAGGGGCCAGCAAGACGAGGGCGAAGAGGGCCAAGCGCAGCGAGGAGAGACAGCGACGGAGCCGAAGGAGCGACAGCCGACAGCCGACAGGAGGGGAGAGGAGGACGGACAGGGCACGAGGGACGGCGGGTCGACCGGGGGGGAAGGGGAAGCCCAAGGGGAAAGACACGAGACGCAACCCCGCAAGGGGAAGCCAAGGGGAAAGGGGGAAAGGGGAAGCCAAGGGGAAAGCCAAGGGCAGAGCACGAAGAGGATTAACAGGGGAAGCCAAGGGGAAAGGGGAAACCAAGGGGAACGGGGAAGCCAAGGGCAGAGCACGAAGAGGATTAACAGGATTAGCAGCACTGGCGCAGCCAGACTCCACGAGTGCAGGGAAGCCAAGACACTGGGCTGCCTTGGGCGTCGAGCCTGAGCCGCCCTCGGCTGAAAGACAGCACAGGTGCGAGGCGGGGATGTATCCACATCCACCGCCTGGGAACCGACGTCCTGGTGACCCAGCGGGCGGTGGATATGGATATATTTTGGCCCCCGGGGGCCCGAGAATATCCATATACACCGCCTGCCGAGGTACCCGTAAACTGATCCTCCAGGCGGTGGTCGTGTACAAATTCCCGACTCGGAACAGGGAGCCAAGGACGGAGCCGGGGAGAGAGGGAAGGAGGCACACGCAAGCGCCACGAGCAAGCTCATCGAGCCGCGCCTGTATGCGGATGCGGTCGTGCTTCACGGCCGTCGCGACCCCAGGTGAGGCGTCGGGAAGACCGTCGTCGGACACAGCGCCAGGCACGGCGTCGGCAGCGACGTCGGGGGGGGGGGGGGGAAATGGCTCACGCGTCGGAAACGGCGACGGGGAGGGCGTCGAGGGGGTCGTCGGGTCGGCTGGCAGGCAGGCCGTCGGGAGGGTCAGCAGGAACAGAGTCGCTGCGAGGCAGGGATTTATCCATATCCACCGTCTGGGAACCGACGTCCTGGTGCCCGAGCGGGCGGTGGATATGAATATATTTCCGCCCCCCGCCCGAAAATGTCCATATACACCGCCTGCCGAAGTACCCGTAGATTGATCCTCCAGGCGGTGGTCGTGTACAAATTCCCGCCTCGGAGTTGCGAGAGGCCGTCGGGAACGGCGCCGGTAACGGCGTCGGGGAGGGCATCGGACGAGGGCAGCGGGCAGGCCGACAGGAAAGCTGGCGAGAGAGGCGTCTGGCAAGGCGCCGGGCGGGGAGGCGGAGAGGGGGGTCGGGAGGGCGGCGGGAGCCCCGGCGCCAGGAGAGGCCCGTTCGCGCGCGGAGGTGGCGCCGAGGGGGGTACCGAGCAGCAGGGCAGCAAAAGAGAGGGGTGGCCACGCGGAGGACGGCGGCGTCGGCGACGAACCCCCACGACGACGCTGACGACGACGGCGCCGACGACGACGACGACGACGACGACGACGACGACGACGACGACGACGACGACGACGACGACGGCGGCGACGACGACGACGACGACGACGACGACGACGGCGGCGGCGGCGGCGACGACGGCGACGGCGGCGACGGCGACGGCGGCGGCGACGGCGACGACGACGACGACGACGAGGGAAGGAGTGCTGTGCGGGGGGCGTGGCCACGCGCCGAGGCGGGCGGCCAGGAGGCGGGGGAAGGGGCCCCTGCGCTGGGAGGCCCGCCGGGCGGCCAGGGGAAGGGCGAAGGAGCGGGTGCGGCATCGGCAAAGGCGACGGGTGCGGCGTCTGTCGGGAGCGGCCAAGAGGGGGGTGCCCAAGAGGGGGGGGGCAAATCATGACCGGCGGCATGTGCGCGGCCCAGCGGGGGGACCAGGGACGTAATGAAATACGTATACAAGAAAAAGCGCCATGACATCTGGGGAAAGATCATGGCCCCCGCCATGATATCCACCCCCCCTAGTCATTACCCCCCGCTTTGCCGCCCCCAACTCTGGCAGGTCGCCAGGAAGGCAGGTCGGGAGGGCTTCCGGTCGGAGGGGAGGAATCGGTCGGGGGGGGGGAGGGCGGGAGAAGGGATGGCCAGAGGTGCCGCCAACTGCGGCGTCGAGCGCGGCGTTCGCCACGGGGAGTCGAAGGCCGCGTCGGGGGCGGCATCGGATGCGGCGTCGGATGCGGCGACGGGTGCGGCGTCGGCCAGGTCGCCGGCAAGGCTGTTGGGTGGGCCGTCAAGAGGGCCGACGGGGAGAGGGTCGGCAGGGCGGCCAGAGGAGGCCTTCAGGCACGGCGTCGGGAACGGCGTCGGGAACGGCACGTTGGGTGCGGCGTCGGGTGTGGCGTCGGACACGGCGACGGGTACGGCGCCGGGTGGGAGGGACGGCGCCGGGTGTGGCGTCGGCTGCGGCGTCGGCTGCGGCGTCGGTGCGGCGTCGGATACGGCGTCGGATACAGCGTCGGGTGCGGCGTCAGATACGGCGTCGGTTACGGCGTCGGATACGGCGCCGGGGAGGCTGTCGGGTGGGCCGTCGGGAGGGTTTGCGCGGGGAGGAAGGCCGGGAGGGGGGGGCAGGGAGGCCGTGAAGGACGGGGTCGAGAGCGGCGTCGGCCACAAAGTCGGAGGAGGCGTCGGATACGGCGACGGGTTCAGCGTCGGCCAGGTCGCCGGGGACAGGGTGCTAGGGAGGCCATCATGCACGGCACGAACAGCTTCGGGAAAGGCACCGAGCAAACCGGCAAGTTAGCTGCTGGGAACGGCGTCGGAAACGGCATCGGGTGGGGAGTCGGGTATGGTGTCGGGCGGGCCGTCGGGAGTGCAGTCGTGAAGGGCGTCGGGAGGGTGGTCAGGGAGGCCGCTGGGTACAGCGTCGGGGACTGCGCTGGAGACGGCGTCGGATGCGGCGTCGGATGCGGCGTCGGAAACGGCGATGGGTACGGCGTCGGCCGCGCAACACACACACACACACACACAGCAATCTCTCTCTCTCTCTCTCTCTCTCTCTCACACACACACACACACAATGCACGCACGCACGCACGCACGCACGCACGCACGCACGCACGCACGCACGCACGCACGCACGCACGCACGCACGCACGCACGCACGCACGCACACACACACACACACACACACACACACACACACACACACACACACACACACACACACACACTTTTCTTACGTCGGCGGCTAGGCAGAGCGACTGCGCTGGCGGATGCGGCAACTGTAAGGCACACCATTATTACTAATTCAGCCGCGATGCACGTGTGGAGGAGGGGGAAAAGGCCCGGCGTGGGCGGGAGGGAGACGGAAGCCGGGCCCGCTCAGAGCGGGGCCAGGCCGCGGCGGGGGGGCGCCGCCAGGGCGGCGGGGCGACCACCCGGACAGAGGCGGGGCGGCAGCCCCAGGGACAAGCGGGGAGGCGGCGCGCGGGAGCCCTCGGCGAGCGGCAAGTCCAGCACGCCGGAGGGCAAAGGCAGCGGCCGCCGCCGGGAGGGGCGGGCGCGGGCAGCGCAGCGCGCTGCGCCCGTGGGCAGCGGAGGGCCGGCGGCCCCGAGGCGGCGGGCAGGGGGACCGAGCTATAAAAGGAAGCAGGAGCGCCGACCGAGGGGGGCCCGGGCGCGCGCGGGGCAGCACCGGCGGGCGCAGAGAGAGAGGCGGAGAGTGGGCGCCGAGCAGGCGCCACGGCACTGGGCAAGGAGCGGACGACCCCAGAGTGGGAGGTCGCCAGGCGCAGCGGGGGGCAGAGGAAGAGGCGAGTGCGCAGGCAGCGGCCAGTGGCGACCGCGGCCAGGCGCGTGGTGGCAGGCTATAGGCCAACGTCCGGCGACCCGTAGTCGGCCCGGCCGGGTGGGGGGGTAGCGCCGGGCAGGTGCACGGGCGCAAAAGGGGGAACAGGCGAATTCCCGGCGGGGCGACTGGCGCCCGGCTGGAGGGCAGCGGAGTTCGCATGCAGGGACGTGCAGAACTGGGTCTCGAATGGCAGGCGGCGGCTGCCAGTCGGGCACCCGGCGAGCTGCTACCAGTGCCGAGTGTGAGATCCAGGCCATCGCTGCCGCGAGGGGTCGTTGCTGGGCCAGGGAGGGTCAGCCGGTCGTTTGTCTTCGCCCTGCAGGGAGGGGCCCTTCTCTTTGCCTTTGGCGCTCTGAGACACACACGCATACACACATGTATCGACATCTTGTGTGAAAACTGTACGCGTGAGATGTGGGAAATAACATGGGCAGTAATCAGGGGAGAGAGGAGAGTAACATGGAAGCTGTGCAATTAATTGTAGAGGGGGCAGGGGAGAGGGAGGGGCACAGGGGGGAGGAGGAACGCTAGGCGGAGGAAGGCGAGGCAGAAGAGGGAGAGCAGGAGCGGGAGGCGAGCGAGGAGGGCGCCGGTGCGGGCGTCCTTGGGCTCGGGCAGCGGCGCGAAGCACGAGAAGCAGCCAGTGGCAGGGTCCGATGGCCTCAGCAGTCCAGAGGAGGAACTGCAGCAGCGGGGGAAGATGAGGTGGAGGACGGAGAGGAGGAGGAGAAAGAGGAGGAGGGGGAGGAGGAAAAGAAAAAGGAAAAGGAGGGAGAGGAGGAGGACAGGGGCAGGAAAAGGAGGAGGAGGAAGAGGAGGAGGAGAAGGCAGGAACATCAGCAGAACGGGCCGTCCTCCTCTACCTCCTCCTCCTCCTCCTCCTCCTCCTCCTCCTCCTCCTCCTCCTCCTCCTCCTCCTCCTCTCCTCCTCCTCCTCCTCCTCCTCCTCCTCCTCCTCCTCCTCCTGTTCCTCGTCCTCCTCACCCCCTTCCTCGTCCAACTCATCATCCTCCTCCTCCCCCTCGATCCCTCTTCCTTTCCTCCCTGTCGCACCCCGAGGCCGGTCGAAACGGCGGGCCAGGCGTTTCCCAAGAGAATTCCTCACTGCTTACGATTCTGAAGCTCAAATTTTGACAGCTTCACGGATGGAGGGCTAAATCTTAGCAGCTTCACGGATGGAGGGCGGGTGGTTCTCAAAATGTGGTTCTCGCAATAGCGCCACACTCATTCGTCTTAAAAGTTGCAAGAAATTCACGGGTGGAGGGCGGGTCGTTTTCAAAATGCGGCTCTCGCCCTAGCGCCGCGCACACTCGTCCTTAAAAAATGCAAGAGCTTCACGGATGGATGCCGGGCCATTTTCAAAATGCAGCTCCCGCCCTAGCGCCGGGCACACTCGTCTTTCAAATTAGCAAGAGCTTCACGGGGAGAGAGCGTTCTGTATTCCAAATGCAGCTCTCGCCCTCGCGCCGCGCACATTCGTCTTAAGAGTTTGCATCTGTTTCATGGGTTACCATGGCTAACGTCCCAGAAACGGTGTTTTGGCAGGATGTCGGGATGTCAGGGCGCAGCAGTCGCATTGCCTCGCGGCGTTGAAGTCCCAGGAAATGGTGTTCAAGGCGCAGTCGTAATGGTGAGTCGCAGCGTTGCAGTCCCAGGAATGGTGTGCGGGCACGGCTCAAAAAATCTGGGGCACTTCCCTCAACAAAAACGAACCCTTGTAGGAGCCTCTGATGAGGGAACCTGACGGGAGCGTTTATGTCAATATCGTTGAGGAGTCTTGGGTTCACACTGGTCCTCCTCCTCCTCCTCCTCCTCCTCAACCTCCTGCGCCTCCTCCATCCCTTTTTCTTGTACATAACTCCTCCCTGTCGCACCCCGAGGCGTATCGGTAGGGCAGGCCAAGCGTTTGGCCTGAGACTCCCTCACCGTTTATGATCCGCAGGAGCTTCACGGATGGAGGGCGGGCCGTTTTTTAATGTGGCTCTTGCCTTAGCGCCGCGCGCATGCGCCCTGAAAGATTGCAAGAATCTCACGGCTGGAGGGTGGACCGTTTTCCAAGTGGGGTTCTCGCCTTCGCGCCGCGCACACGCGCCTGAAAAGCTCGCAGGAGCTTCACGGATGGCGGGCCGTTCTCAGCATGCGGCTCTCGCCTTCGCGCCGCGCACACTCGCCTGGAAAGTTCGCAGGAGCTTCACAAATGGAGGGTAGGACCGTTTCGAAATGCCGCTCTCGCCTCAACGCCGCGCACAATCGTCTCAAGGGTTTCACACAACTTCAAGGATTCTTACCGCTGACGTCCCCGAAATGGTGTTTCGGCCCAGTGGAAGACTGCGAGGGCGCAAGAGTTAAAACGGCTCGCGGTGTTGAAGTACCAGGAACGGTGTTCTGGCAAGATTCAGGATCATCCGGACGCGACAATAAGGTTCACTCGCAGCGTTGAACTCCCAGTAATGATGTTCTGGCACGGATCAGGGTTTTCAGACGGTTGTCTTTCAACGGGGCACCTCTCTCAGTGAAAGTGAACCCTTGTAGGGACCTAAGAAGAGAGAACTTGGAGGGAGAATGTATCGCAACATCGTTGATGAGCCGTTGGCTTACACTGGCCCTCCTCCTCCGTCTCCTCCGCCTCCTCCTCCTCGTCGTCCTCATCCTCATTCTCATCCTCCTCATCACCATCATAGTTAATCATCATCATCATCATCATCATCATCATCATCATCATCAGCATCATCATCATCATCAGCATCATCATCCTCGTCATCATAATCATCATCATCATCATCATCATCATCATCATCATCATCATCATCATCATCATCATCATCATCGTCGTCGTCGTCATCATCATCCTCATCCTCATCATCATCATCATTGTCGTCGTCGTCGTGATCATCGTCGTCGTAGTCGTAGTCGTCCTCCTCGTCATCACCAGCATCGGCATCATCCTCGACATCACCATCATCATCCCAATCGCTTGCGGTGGGAATCGAGCCGAGTGGTTCGACGAAGCTGTGTTGTCTGCGCACGTGCTTTCGCGCAGCAAGGGGCGCTCGCCTGAAGCTACACCACCTGCCAGACTCATTTTGAACCCGATGCAAGCAGTGGAAGCGGCCCCACCACAAGGAAGGATGCCGAGGAGAAACCAAAATCGGTGGGAAGAGGTTCCTTCCTGTTTCATCCGTCCTCCGTCATTATTTCTCCGTCCTCGTCCTCATCCTCCTCCGTCCTTCCGTCCTTCATTCCGTTGCTCCTCCTTCACGTCCTTCCACCCTTACGTATTTCCTTGGTGGTCCTTATCCTCGAGATCCTGCTCATTGAGATCCTCATCGCATCACACCACCTCACTCCACACCACACCACCACCACCACCACCACCACCACCACCACGGTCATGATCGTCGTCCCCGCTTTCATCATCATCAGCATCATCAGCATCATCATCAGCATCAGCATCAGCATCGTCATCATCAGCATCATCGTCTTCGTCGTCGTCATCGCCGTCGTGGTCTTCGTCATTGTTATCGCTGCCGCCTCCATCATATGCATCATCGTAGACATCACCATCATCGTTAAAGTAAGCAGCATCAGCACCACCATCACCATCGCCATCGGCATCACCACCACCACCCCGCCCACCATGGCAACCATCATTATTCACTCACTCAATCAACCAATCAACCAAGCAATCAGTCAATCAACCAGGATATACATATGTGTATACATGTATATACTTATATATATACATATGTATATATACATTCACATATGTCTATGTATAGTTCTGTCTATATCGATCAATGTGTATAGATGTACCGGTACAGATCGACCTACATGTCTAGCTGTCTAGATACCCATGGTAACCATCACCATCATCAGCATCAGCATCAGCACCGTCAGCATCATCATCAGCAGCATCGTCACAATCAGACATCATGATAAACATCATCATCAGCAGCATCTTCATGTTCATTATCATCATTATCAGCAGCAGCAGCATAACCATCATCGTCTTGAAAATTAGCAGCTGTATCATCATCAGCATCATCACCATCATCATCAGCATCATCATTATCATCATCATCAGCATCGTCATCATCATGGTCTTCATCGTCAGCATCGTCATCAGCATCATCATCATCATCATCGATGTTGTCGTCGTGATCATCATCATCATCATCATCAGCAGCAGCATCATCATCATCATCAGCATCAGCATCGTCATCATCAGCATCATCATCTTCGTCGTCGTCATCGCCGTCGTGGTCTTCGTCATTGTGATCGCTGCCGCCACCATCATATGCATCATCGTAGTCATCACCATCATCGTTAAAGTAAGCAGCATCATCACCACCATCACCATCGCCATCGCCATCACCACCACCACCCCACCCACCATGGCAACCATCATTAATCATTCACTCAATCAACCAATCAACCAAGCAATCAGTCAATCAACCAGGATATACATTTGTATATACATATATTTACATATATATATATATATATATATATATATCGAATTAATGTATACAAATGTATATAAACATTTACATATGTATATGTAAAGTTCTGTATATATCGATAAATGTGTATAGACGTACCGGTACAGATCGACCTACATATCTAGCTGTCTAGATACCCATGGTAACCATCACCATCATCAGCATCAGCATCAGCACCGTCAGCATCATCATCAGCAGCAGCGTCACAATCAGACATCATGATAAACATCATCATCAGCAGCATCTTCATGTTCATGATCATCATCAGCAGCAGCAGCAGCATAACCATCATCGTCTTGAAAATTAGCAGCTGTATCATCATCAGCATCATCACCATCATCATCAGCATCATCATTATCATCATCAGCAGCATCATCATCAGCATCGTCGTCATCATCATGGTCTTCATCGTCAGCATCGTCATCAGCATCATCAGCATCATCATTGTCGTCGTTGTGATCATCATCATCATCATCATCATCATCATCATCAGCATCATCATCATCAGCTTCATCATCAGCATCGTCATCACAGTTGTCGTCGTCGTGAACATCATCGTCATCATCATCCTCATCATCATCAGCAGCATCATCATCAGCAACATCATCAGCATCAGCATCAGCATCATCGTCATCGTCGTCATCACCATCATCATCAGCATCATCAGCATCATCAGCATCATCATCATCATCATCCATATCATCCATCATCATTATCATCATCATCATCATCATCATCATCATCATCATCATCATCATCATCATCATCATCATCATCATCATCATCATCATCATCATCATCATCCCGCTCTCTCCTCCTCCTCCTCCTCCTCCTCCTCCTCCTCCTCCTCCTCCTCCTCCTCCGCCTCCGCCTCCGCCTCCGCCTCCTCCTCCTCCTCCTCCTTCTCCTCCTCGGACCCCGCTCCTGGGGCCTCTCCTCCGCCTGCCGCCCCCCACAAACATATGATCGATTGGGCCGCCGGCTTGGTCTTCTTCGCCGGCGCCGTAACGTTCCGCATGGAGTGGCCCCTCGCCGGCACCTTCGGAGGGAGGAGGCAGGGCGGCCCCTCCTGATGCTCCTCCCTCCTCCTCACTCCTCCTCCTCCTCTCCTGCCTCCTCCCTCCCCTCCTCCTCCTCTCATCCTCTCCTCCTCCTGCTCCTCCTCCTCCTCCTCCACACTCCTCCCTCACCTCACCTCCCTCCCACCCTCCCTCTCTCCATTCTCTCCCTCCCCTCCTCCTCCCCTCTCCTCCTCTCCGCCCTCCTCCTCCTCTCCTCCTCCTCCTCCGCCTCCTCCTCCTCCTTCCTCCCTCCTCCTCCTCATCCTCGCCTGCTCCTGCTCCTGCTCCTCCTCCGCCGCCTCCCCTCCTCCTCCTCCTCCCTCCTCTCCTCCTCCTCCTCCTCCTCCTCCCTCTCTCCTCTCCTCCTCCTCCTCCCCCTCCTCCTCCTCCTCCGCCCTCCTCCTCCCTCCTCCCCTTCTCCTCCTCTCCTTCTTCCTCTCCTCCTCCTCCTATCTCCTCCTCCTCCCGCCCTCCTCCTCTCCTCCTCCTCCTCTCCTCTCCCTTTCCTCCTCCTCCGCCTCCTCCTCCCTCTCCTCTCCCTCCCCTCCTCCTCCTCCTCCTCCTCCTCCTCTCCTCCTCCTCTCCTCCTCCTCCTCCTCCTCCTCCTCTCCTCCTCCTCCCCCTCCTCCTCCTCCTCCTCCTCCTCCCTCCTCCCTCTCCTCCCTCCTCCCCCCTCCTCCTCCTCCTCCTCCTCCTCCTCCCTCATCCTCCTCCTCCTCCTCTCCCTCCCTCCCTCCCTCCTCCCCTCCCTCCCTCCCTCCTCCCTCCTCCCTCCCTCCCTCCCTCCTCCCTCCCTCCCTCCCTCCCTCCCTCCCTCCCTTCCCTCCCTCCCTCCCTCCCTCCCTCCCTCCCTCCCATCTCGCCCTCTCTCCCTCTCGTCCTCCTCCTCCTCCTGCTGCTCCTCCTCCGCCTCCTCCTCCTCTTCTTATTATTATTAGTAGTATTATTAGCATTCTTAATATCATTCTTCTCATTAGATTATTATTATGCTTCGTCTGATTAGTATTATTATGGTTCGTCGTAGTATTCGTCTTATTCTTAGTATTATCATCATCCTTCGTATTATTCTTATTGTTAGTATTAGTATTCGTAGTATTATTATTAGTGTTCTTATTCTTATTCGTATTATTAGTCTTATTAGTAGTCGTACTATTATGTGTTATGATTCTTCTTAGTATTGATAGCATTCTCAGTTTTATTATTAGTCTTATTATTAGTAGTAGTATTATGGTTCGCATTCTTATTATTATTACTACTACTACTACTACTACTACTACTATTATTATTGGTATTATTATTAGTATTATTATTAGTATTCGTCGTCTTCGGGTTGTTCTTCTTATTCGTATGAGTTTTGTTAGTCGCCTTATTCATATTACGGTTATTCTTATTATTCTTATTATTAGCATTCTTCTTCGTATTAATAGTAGTAGTCTTACTCTTCGTCTTAGTATTAGTATTATTCTTAATAGTATTATTAGTATTCGTCTTCGTCGTATTCTTCGTATTGGTATTATTCTTCTTATTCTTATTAGTATTATTATTATCATTATTATTATTATCATTATTAGTAGTAGTAGTAGTAGTAGTAGTAGTAGTAGTGGTGGTTGTAGTAGTAGTAGTAGTAGTAGTAGTAGTAGTATAGTAGTAGTAGTAGTAGTAGTAGTAGTAGTAGTAGTAGTAGTAGTAGTAGTAGTAGTAGTAGTAGTAGTAGTAGTAGTAGTAGTAGAGAAGTAGTAGTAGTATCCTCCTCCTCCTCCTCCTCCTCCTCCTCCTCCTCCTCCTCCTCCTCCTCCTCCTCCTCCTCCTCCTCCTCATCCTCCTCCTCCTCCTGCTTGGCAGCGGCGGCGTCTGCACTCCGCGGGGGGTGGGCCTCCGCGGGGCTGCCGAGGCCGCCCCGCGGCGCCCGCCGAGGGGCGGGCCGGGGGCGCCCCGCCCCGTGCGGGGCCGCACGGCCGCCCCCGGCCCAGAGCTGCCTCACGGGGCCTGCGCTCCGCTCGGCGCGCTTCTCGGGGGGCGAGCTCGCGCGGGCCGCCCCGCAGGAGCACCTCGCCCGCCGCCCGGAGGAGACGCCGCTGGTCCCCATCGAGGCTGCCCTGCTAGACTTGGAGACGGTCTGGTCGAGCGTTCTGCATGCGTCCTCCCGCCGCTGGACCCCATCGAGGCTGCTCTGCTAGGCTTGGAGGTAGGCTCGTCGAGCCTTCTGCATGCGTCCTCCCTGGCCAGTGGGGGCGATCTGGGACAAAGGTGCGGGCCGCGAGGATGTACACCACCAGCACCGCCACCACCACCACCACCACACCACCACCACCACCACCACCACCACCACCACCACCACCACCACCTTCGTTCCTCCTCCCTCCTCTGCCCTCCTCTCCCTCTCCTCGCTCCCGGAGATGAGGGAGGGGGGTGAGGGAGGTGGTGATGGTGGTGCACTGTGGGGGGGGGCCGTGGGGGGGGGGAGCACTCTGGTCTGCTCAGGCCTGGCGACGGCGAGCGCGCGTTCGCTGCCGCCCCCCCGGCCTGCACGCCTCGCCGCTCGGCCGCGTGCGCGAGCTCCAGCGGCCCTCGGCCGACCGCGGCGCGGGCCGCCGCCCACCGCCTCCCTGCGAGCCGCCCGCTCGTCGCAGACCCCGCGGCACACCCACGCCGCAGGGCCCGGAGGCCGCCTGCCGGGGTGCACGGCGGCGGGACGCCGCGCAGCGCCTCCAGATCGCCGTCGCCCGCAGAGCTCCCCGCCTCTGGATGGGCAGCGCCCAGAGCCCGCGGGCTCCTCCGCAGGCCTGGGCCCTCCCAGGGGGGGGCGGCGGCAGCTGCGCTTCCTGGCAGCACCCCGGGGGGCGAGGTCTCACTGGGGCCCGCTGGGGTCGGTGCCCCGCTGGATCCCCCGGGGGGGGGCCAGGAAGCGGGAGATCGGCAGCATCCAGGGGAGACGAGGTCCCACTGAGGTCCGCTCAGGTTGGGGTTCCACTGACCTCTATAGAGGCCCAGGAAGTGCGCGACGGCTTTACGCTCGACAGCACTGCAGGAGGCTGAAGAGAAAGGAAAGGCAATGATTGAGAGAGGAAGGGAAGGAGGGAAAACGGAACGCGCAGGTAGGGAGATGGGAGGGACGGGTGGGGAGGAAAGGTTTGGACGAGGCGGAGGAGGAGGAGGAGGAGGAGAAAGAAGAGGAGGAGGAGAAGCAGCAGCAGCAGCAACTGCGTGATCCAAAACAGAGGTTCAACCAAAGGAATGTCGAGAAGAAGCATTGAACGACCAGCCCCGTCGGACCAACTCCGCCCCTGCCGACCTGCTGCGACTGGTTCACGGGATCCTCGTAGGTGGCACTGAGGCGCTTCTCCAGCGTGATCTGGACATAGGAAAGGGGGAACGGGGAGGGGGTCAGGGAAAGGCGTGGAGCGTGAAAGTGGAGGACAGAGGAAGAGGCAGATATACAGATCAACATACACAAAACCAGAGACACGGAAAGAGACAGCGAGCGAGCGAGCGAGCGAGCGAGAGAGGTGACAGAGGCAGTGGTCGACCATGGCATTGTCGAGCGCAAGCGGCACGGATGCAGATGTCCGCTCGCTCGTGACAGGATCGATGCCAGTCGTGGCTTGATCCTGGCGGGTGCTCCTGGCGGCATTCCCCGTCTCGAGGCGCACGTCCTCGGCCTCACGGGCTCCCGCGGGCAGCCCGCGGACCCACAGGCGCCCGACGTCGAGCCGCCGGCTGCGCTGCCGACGAGCCGCCTGCCGGGACGAGCGACCGGGCAGTCAACGACCCGGGGCCGCCACGCCTGGCGGCAGTCGGGGCGTGCGATCGCGCCGTCGACGACCCCGAGCCGCCGCACCTGGCGGCACGAGCCTGCTGGCGGGCGGGAGGGACTGTGGGATGCTCGTTCTGGGGGCCCTCCTGGCGCCGCTCGCTCCACCAGTGCGTTGATGCTGCATCCAACGTCCGTCGGCTTGAGTCGAGCCTAACTCGAACCTGAGACGGACTCGAGTCGAAAATGCAGTCGAACTGGAGTCGAACTAGAGTCGTCAGGTGGGCCCCAGGAAGGTCCCCAAAGCGATGAAAGAAAGATTGGCGACGGACGGGCAGGGAGGAGCTGGCCCTTGGCAGAAGATGGTTATCAATTTTCGGCCGTAGCCCGGGTTATCCGGAGGGGGGGGAAGTGGGAGGGAGGTGGCAGTGCCAAGCGATAAACTCACCTTTGCACCTTGGGCAGCCCCACGTATGCCCGCGCGCACCCATACCGCACACACCCGACGCCCTGACTTTGTCAGCATGCGGCCCCCGGAAGCCCCAACCCTCTCTCAGGGCCCGGTTTTTCCTCTCGAGCCGCTTTTTTGTTCACGGTCTGGGGGCACGGCGTTGGCCCCCAGAGGCCGAAAATGAAGCGGCCGACCCCTCAGGCCGCCTGGAGCCCGGCAGCGCCGGCGGCCGGCCACGAGTCCTCCGGGCACGGCAGACGGGGGCGGTCGGACGAGGCATACACGCGCACGCGTTTCTGCTACGCGGCCGGCTGGTCCAGCACAGCGAGGGCATCTGCGGGACGCGGCAACCACACACACACACACACACGCACGTACACACATACACACACACACACACACACACACACACACACACACACACACACACACATTCTTCAGACATCTGGAAATTGTTTCGCAGCACGCTTCCTCTCCATTAATCGACTTCCACAGCACAATGACCGACCGAACCGACCGAGCCGAACCAACTGGACGCCACCGACCGCGGCGCGCAGCCGAGCCGGCCGAGCCGCGAGCACCTCCCGGTCGGCCTCGCCGCGCGGCGCCGCACGCTGGCACGCCGACGGGAACCCAGACACAACTCGGCGGCAGCTCACGGGAGTCATCCATACGGTCGGGGCGTTGACCTGAGGAACGATACATAAGGAACGAGGCCCCATTTCTCCATAAGTTCAACTTCGATCTCCCATCGAAGACCTAAGGACAGCATCAGGCAGATTGCGAAACGATTGAGGAGCACGGAGCCCCTCCTCATTCCTTGTTCAGCGCGCCGACAGTACCATCTTGGCGGCTCTTGCGAGTCGACGCTAGTCGACGATAAAGTGACGCCAATCGACGCTAAATCGACGCTAATCGACACTCACCGACGCTAAATTCATCGACTCCCAGACGCTAAACCGACGCTGATCGACGCTGAAGACGGAATTCGAAGGGTGCACAGGGCTCCCACATGACTTGCTGCCGAAGACACACGATGCCCTATTTTTCGGCACGGGGTCCCCACAAGTCCCGACCCTTTCCCCATGGGGCCAGCGTCTCGTCCTGAGTCGTCTTGTGGCGGTCCAGGGGACTGGCGAGGGCCCTCCTCCTCCTCCTCCTCCTCCTCCTCCTCCTCATCCTCCTCATTTTGGCTCAAGCGTTCGCATGCCTGGTGCGCGCCCCGCCGTCCCCGCGATGGCCGCGCGTCGGGCTAGAGGGGCTCTGGATCCCGCGACGGCTGCCCGCCTCGTCGAGGCGGCCGTGCGCGGGGCGCTCGGGGCGCCGCGGCGCACGGTGGCGGCGGTGGCTCGCTCGGCAGTCTCGGTGGCGGCGTTCGCCGTCTCGGGATCGCCACCGCCCGCCGATGCCGCTGGCACCGACCTGGATCAAGGTGCTCGTCCTGAAGCTGAGCCTGCTGCGCGCGCTGCGCGCGCTGCGCGCGCTGCGCGGCGGCGCCGCCGCCGCCAGCGCCGAGCGGCGAGGCGCGCGGCTGCCAGGCTGGACACCGAGACAAACGAGGCGAAGAAGGAGGGCGCGGGGGCGGCCGCTGGGGCGGCCAGTGCGGGCCTCGCGCTCGTGCAGGTGGCTGGGGCTGCTGCCGACGCGCCCGACATCGACGCCGAGCTGGACGACTCCTGGGCTGATGGACTGCTACGCGGGGGTCCTGCCGTCGCCGCCGCTGGCGGCGCTGCAGGGCTGAGCGGGCGACGCCGCGGCTGGGAGGTGGGGCAGGCCGTGTCTTCGACGGAGCCTGCTGCGCCGAGCGGGCCTGGGGCTGCTGTTGCTGGTGCGGCGGCGGCGACGGGCATCGAGGTGCGGCAGTTCGAGCCGTGGGAGTCCAGTGGGCCTGCGAAGGAGGACGTGCGGGTGCGGGCCAGGCGGGCCCTCGGCATGCCGCCCTATTCCTGATGCTCGAGGAGGCCCTGGTGTGGTCCCTCGTGCTCGCGGTCGTGGAACTTGCCCTCCTCGGCTCGCCGGCGTGGTGCGTCGACTAAGACTTCCGCGTCTTCTTCGGCAGCGCGGCCGGGGGGTCCAGGTCTGGTCAGATCCAGGCCTGGCCCCCCGCTGACCCGGTGGGACCTCTGAGGGTTTCGCTGCCCATCAGTTGTATCGTGGCTGCACGGTGAATGTTAAAAAATCCTCCTCCTCCTCCTCCTCCTCCTCCTCCTCCTCCTCCTCCTCCTCCTCCTCCTCCTCCTCCTCCTCCTCCCTCCTCCTCCTCCTCCTCCTCCTCCTCCTCCTCCTCCTCCTCCTCCTCCTCCTCCTCCTCCTCCTCCTCCTCCTCCTCCTCTCCTCATCCTCCTCCTCCTCCTCCTCCTCCTCCTCCTCCTCCTCCTCCTCCTCCTCCTCCTCCTCCTCCTCTCCTCCTCCTCTCCTCCTCCTCCTCCTCCTCCTCCTCCTCCCTCCTCCTCCTCCACCTCCTCCTCCTCCTCCTCCTCCTCCTCCTCCTCCTCCTCCTCCTCCTCCTCCTCCTCCTCCTCCTCCTCCTCCTCCTCCTCGAAAACGTGCAGACACCGCCCGTCGTGACTTCTGATACGGCGCGAGCATGTCTGGGGCCCGAAGGCCCGCGGCGGCGCGAAGACCCGCCCCCCCGAGGCGGGGCCCAGCCGGGGTGAAGTCGGGCTTGTCCCTCCACAGGAGAAATATTCAAAATCAGCCCCAAAAAATAGTCGGGGGACGACTTTTTGACCATGTTGGAAAATTTCTAGGGCATGTTCAAATCCCCCTGTAGGGGGACACGCCCGACTGAAAGCCAGGGGGCAGGCCTTCTCGGACGGCGGCGGGGCTGCCGAGGAGCCCCCGCGCCCGCCGAGAAGGCCTGCCCCCTCCTCGCTTCTGCCCTGGGCTCGCCGCGGGCACCTGCTGCGGCTCGGCGTGGAGGGGGGGGAGCGAGGAGGAGCGAGGAGGAGCGAGGAGGAGGAGGCGGAGGAGGAGGAGGAGGAGGAGGAGGAGGAGGAGGGGCGAGGAGGAGGAGGAGGAGAGGAGGAGGAGGAGAGGAGGAGGAGGAGGAGGAGGAGGAGGAGCGAGGAGAGGAGGAGCGAGGAGGAGGAGGAGGAGAGGAGGAGAGGAGGGAGGAGAGAGGAGGGAGGAGGAGGAGGAGAGAGGAGGAGGAGGAGGAGAGGAGGAGGAGGAGGAGGAGGAGGAGGAGGAGGAGGAGGAGGAGAGCAGGAGGAGCGAGGAGGAGGAGGAGGAGGAGGAGGAGGAGGAGGAGGAGGAGGAGGAGGAGGGAGGGGGACGGCAGGGCGGAGGGAGGAGGACGGCAGGGGGGGAGGGAGGGGGAAGGGAGGTCAGGGCGTCCCGAAACGGCGCGGTGGCGGGCCGTGCGGCGACTCGGAGATTTCCCAAAGACCCCACCACACGGTCGGTCACCGCACGGTCCTGGGGCCTAGAGGCCCCAGATGCCCGAGACGCCCTCGGAGAACAACCCGAGTGCCACAGTCGTGCGGCCGCCCCGAATGCCCACTGGCTCCCCACGCGAAGTGGTCACTGCACCGTCCACAGGGGCCCCCTGACAAGGGGGGTAGGGAGGGGGAGCAGCAGAAGCTGGAGCAGCAGAGAGGCAAGCGGAGCGGGAACAGGAGCGCCTGCTGCGTCCGGCGCACGGTGCTCGAGGATCTGCGGCCGGGGATCTAGGGCGTGTCTGGCGTGTTCTCTGCCTCTGGGAACCTCCTGGGACATCTGAGGACCTCCACGACGTTCGGGTGATCGGAGTCGGGGGCAGCACTGAAACGTACCAGGGACGGAGTCGCGCGAGTTCATCGGCTGTCTGACTGTCACCTGCCAAACTGCTGCCTAACATCTGATGCGCATCAGAACTCAGAGGTGCAGAACCGTAGACACACCCAACCTTCAAGACTAGCCCGTGGCTCGGAACATGCGCAGGAGGCAGAATAGAAGGAGTATTCCTGGGCCGTTCTCGTCACAGACGGGCAAATCTGGCGCCTCCTCAAATTCCGGCTGGAACGGAGAGCTGACAGCGATCTGACTGACGCCACGCTGCTCGAATTCCAGGCTCTGGATCTGGCTCCCCCTCCGCCACCTCCCACTCCTCCTCCTCCTCCTCCTCCTCCTCCTCCTCCTCCTCCTCCACCTCCTCCTCCTCCTCCTCCTCCTCCTCCAACTCCTCCTCTTGACCCTTGTGAGGGACGCACGGGGCGCTGGTAACAGAGCGCTCAATCTAGCACTCTCGACGGGTAACTCCACCAGAACCCCATCGGCTATGGAGCTGGGGCGACACCAGCAGACCCTCATATTATGCTGTCTCCTCTTCTACTACCCCATGCTTCTTGGCCATCTTGTTACCCCGGTGCCTTGTGTCCTGCCAGATCATCCCGCTACCCTTTTCCAACTGTTGGGAACGACTAGAAGAGCCCCGGCGTACGAAGCTTCGCCAGGCGGCACCGACCGCAAATGCTTCTGAGTCCCACACGACTACGGGTTACTGGTCCATGCCCAAGCATCAATGGAATATGTTGGTCATTTCTTCTGATTCGTCGCAATGTTGTCCTATTCTCGCTTCTCTCGCGTTCAGCACTCATGCTGGGGTTGCGGCCCCTTCTTACCTCATGCGGTTGTTATCCACTCGTGCCCTGGTGTTTCCCCTCGCTGTTGACCCCTCACGCTGGGGCCGCCCCCTCGCGTATTGACCTTCTACTCTGTGGATTTGATTTCCATGTGTCAACCCATCGCTGGGGCTTTGGTCCCACACTCGTTGACCCCTCATGCCTGGGCTTTCGCCCCTCATCATGCGACCCCTCATGCTAGAGTTTTGGCCCCTACTTTTATAGCCTCATGATCTGGCTTCTCCTGCGGTCACCTCCATTCTGGGTCTACGACCCTCCACGCGTTGACCCTCTCGCTGGGGCTTTGAGTCCACATGCGTCGAGCCTTCATGCAAGGTACGCCCCTCATCATTTGGTCCCATTCGCTGCCCCTTCATGCCGAAGCTTGGGCTCCTCAGTTGTTCACCCGTCGCGCTTTGGCCGCCCCCTCGGACGTTAACCCCCCGCGCCGTGGATTGGCCCTATCAGCTCATGCGTTGACCTTTCCCTTTCAGCGTTCTCCTCACGAGGTGAACTTGGTCTTCGCATGATATTTCGGTTCGCTGTTTGCCTCCACCGTCTGCTGCCGCATCCTCCCTCGCAACGTTGCTACCCTGGTGTACGTGCTCTTTCTAGCTCATCCTGCTACCCCGCACAAAAGCTTTGGCCACCATCTCGACCTCGTCTTGCGAATATTGATGTTAACGATTGAGCCATGTTACGGCCTCAAGGTATGCGGAATGCGCATACCAGCCGCTGGGGTTCCGACGCCTCAATTGTTGAGCCTTCACTCTGGTGCCCTCCCCCTCGTATAGGACATGTCATGCGTTGACCCTCCATGATGGATTTATGACCCGCAACGCGCTGACCCCATTGCTGAGGCCTTGGCCCATGCGTCGATCCCTCCTGCCGTGGCGCACGCCCCTCCCGCGTTGATCCCTGATGTGTGGACTATAACCCTAAAAGGCTGTGTAAACCGACGATATCATCCTCCTCCTCCATCTTCCTCTACCCATCCTGCTCATCTTCTTACCATTCGTCGTTCTCCTCGACTTGTTTGTTTCCTACTCGTCCTGCCCTGCCTGCGACAACTTACAGCTACAACTACTACCACGACTACGCCTACTACAGCTACGACTCGGACAACTACCACACATACTACTCCTACTACTGTTACTACTGTTACTACTACTACTACTACTACTACTACTACTACTACTACTACTACTACTACTACTACTACTACTACGACTATTACTACTACTACTACTACTACTACTACTACTACTACTAA